CCGAGATATCAAAACATTCACTCTTTTTCTTGATTTGATCACCCATTGTTACAAAGGCCTTCAATGGTAATTGATAAATAATATTAGATGATAAGCATCTCATTATATAAACTTGTGTAAATCTCACTTGTATAATATCCACAAGAAGCAACAAAAAAATGAAAAGATGAAGAAAGAGGAGGGGTATCATTAAAAAAATGTAAGAAGCCCTTTGATTGCTTGCAATGAAAGTTCTTTGACTTTCTCAAGAAAAAAAAAAGTATAGCCCTGTCTTTACAATATGTGACTACATTTTCTCTCGGATAGAAAAAATGATATTTTTGTTCATACATAGAGCATTTACATACATATCACGCAATTCCCATGAAATTACATATCTAACACCTAAATTTTACTTTTTACATTTATACTACCCTAATAATTTATATCACATACAAATACCACTATTTTAACTTTTAAAAAGTGAAATACATCTTTTCCTGCATAAGGTGGCATATATGTAAAAATTAATGTTTAGGTGTTGGATATTTGAATACATAAGAATTAAAAAAGTATAGCCTTGTCGTTACAGTATGTGGCTACATTTTCTCTCGGATAGAAAAAATTGATATTTTTGTTCATACATGGGGCATTTACATACATATCACCCAATTCCCATGTATTTACATATATAACACCTAAATTTTACATAACACCTAAATTTTACTTTTACTTTTTACATTTATACTACCTAATCATTTATATCACATTAAAAATATCACTATTTTAATTTTTAAAAAGTGAAATACATATTTTCATGCATAAGGTGGCATATATGTAAAATTAATGTTTAGGTGTTAGATATTTGAATACATAAGAATTAAGTGGTATGTATGTAAACCGTCCTTAATTTTATATGAAGTGTAACTTTTCATATATCTTTTTTGAAACCTAGTGAATTACTTCAACACTATGCGGTCGTAAACATAAGCTTACTTTAGCTAAACCACTTAAATTTTGGTGTCCTCTTTTGCAGGTTTTTAACTCTTTTATGGCTACCTTGTGGTTCATCATATAGATTAAGGGCACCATCTTTCCTAGCATAATACAGCCCTTATCATTCATGTTAGTTGAATATACTCACAAATAATATTCGAAGTAAAGTTGCTTTGGCATATGTATTTCAAAGATACCATAATTCTAAGTGGCGAGAAATCAGCTGAAATAGGTGAAACATATAAACTTTAACATCATAAGGTTAAAAATTAGGTATATGATTTACAGTTGTAATGGTGAGATTTTTAGAAAACTAATAATATTGTCAAGAAATAAAGTAATAATACACAAGTGTTATAGATTTTAAAATTTTAGATTTATTCTATAAATGAAATGCGAACAAAATTTATGTGTAAAGATTGTGAATACAATTGAAAATGTCTTCGAACCATGATACAATAAAAGTATCATAAGAATATAGAAATAAATTTTATAAAACCACAATTATGCTTATTATTTGGAATGAATTAGAGTGTTAGGCAGCCAAAAAAGTCATTGATAGCTAAGTTGAGCACATAAAACAGAAAATTACAATGATAGAGGTGCAAAAAAAAAATTATAAATTTATGAATCATTATATTGGAAGAGATAGTTGAAGAAGTATTAATTGAAGATAACATAATAGTTGAGAATAGAATTAAATGATTCAACTGTAAAATAAAAGTACCAAAATACACTAGCTAGAGGAGTAGAAAAAACAATGTTGAAAAACTATAAATAAAAATGTGTAGAAATACGATAACATTGATAGAATTATTCAAAATGAGTAGTGAAAAATAAATGTAACAACTCATGAAACACTCAACGAGAATAAATGAAACGAGTATTCTTAAAACTATCCAAACTAAAGGGGATAAGTCAAATAATAATGATGATGATTCTTGATTCATAATAATAATGGATCACAATTATATGAGGTGTTCATAATGTTTTTTTGCCTTCTCCAGCTAAGATTACTTTACATTTACGTTCATGGTTGTGAACATATATATGCATGCGTTATTTCTGGATTTATGAATATGACCATTGGTTGCAATATGTTGACTTAAATGCATCCGGATAGCCTGAATATAAGTCTTATAATTAAGAGTAAAAATTTTGTTAAAGAGGAACTTCATGGGATTGGTAATACCATATGATTGTAGGGTTAATATAATCTACATGTTGTTTCATACATATTATATTAACTTAGTTTAGATCTATATTAGTATACCCATTTTTATTAGAATCTAACAAGGCATGAACATTTTCTCCATTTTTTTAAGAACAAGTGCTGGGATGCATGCTTGAATGCATGCAACGGACAACCAATTAAATCAAACTATTTATTTTCACATGGAAGACATAACCTACTGATGAAAATATGTATGTTAATTCTCCTTGAAAGTATCACAAAAAAACGATCAATAATCTGAGGAGATTATTGTTTACATTATCTGATTTATTTTCTTTTAGCTTGTATATTTCTAAAATTAAAATATTTCAATGATCATGACATTATAGATGTATTTTTATTTCCTGGCATTAGGTTGACTCATAAGGTTTTGCATTTTTTTATTGTTGGTTAATTCCATCAATGATCTTTATTTTATTCCTAAAGAAAATATAACTGTTTACTATCATCAGAAGTATTATAGTAAATGATGATCTGAAGACAGACAGATTATGTTTTTCAGTAGTTGATATATTTTACTTTAGTTTGCAAAATTTTATGATTAAAACATGCCAATGAGAATGGCCTTGAAAGAGATGTATATTTATATCCTAACATTAGGTTGATCATTACGATTTGGTATGGTTTTAATTTTGGTTAATTCCGACAATAAGTGGTTATACATGGACTACATAACAACCTTATTTATTTGCTGTTAGATTTGAAGCAATGCATGGTTAAGTATTATCCTTCGGCGTTGGAGTTGGAGTTTGGATTTATCTCCTCACATTTTGTTTGTTTGTTGTGGAAATGGTGTGAGTTTCAATTTGTGAGGTTTAGATTTGGATATGACGTTGCTTGATAGAGCATTGATTTTCCAAGCTTTAAATTATTGTAGTTTCCTGATATTTTATTCACGGTGTAGTGTATAAGATAAGAATACATGCAACTTTAAACAACGGCTCATTTTTTGAACTTAATTTAAAATGAAATGATTTTAAGTTAAGGACTCCATAAAAGTGTTCTAAGCCGTGCAATTTCATAATTTTGATACTTGAATAAATTTTTCATTCCAATTTTTAACCTTGTGCTTGTAAAATAGAAGTGTAATTCTTTCTACTAAGATAAAAGTACAACTAACTCAAAGGAAGTAATTTCCTTGTACTAGCTTGAGGGCAGGATTTCTTTCTACCGAGATAAAAGTACAGCTAACTCAAATGAAGTCATATCCTTGAACTAGCATGAGGCCAAAATTTCTTAATTAGTACATAATTTATTTTATATATTTTGTTTGGCTTTTTTGTAATACTAAATTAATTCAGAGTTCTACAAAACTATAATTTATTGTGAGATTAAATTATAATTACTGATTATTCGGGATCAATTTTTTTGTTGATTTTCAAATTTAATAGATCATTACATTAGCATATGAGTTATATTTCTTGCAATTATTGATTTCATTTAAAAAGAGCAAGTTATTGGCTTATTAAGTGATTTATGATATGTGACTCCTTAAACTCTCTAGAATGACATACATGCATTGTATCATTTTAGTTGCAATAGGAAACCTTAACCATAAGCAAACTTCCATCCTTCAAATTATAACTTCTTCCAATAACTACAAAAAATGTATCAATATCACCTATTTTATTTATATGAATAATTTTTCAAGAAAACAATAACTTCCATCAAATATTATAACTTTAATATCACTTTACATCATCTCTAGCCTATTAATGTTTCTCCAAAATTCATACATAAAGCACTAAATTTATCTCACCAAGATAAACATCTGGTTGGCAAAGAAAGTCCACCATTACACTAGTTCCTGAAATGGTCTCTGTAAGAGGAAGAAGGCCATTTGATAATGAAATCCATCCCAAGTCCCAACCATAAATTAAAGTGAAACTAATCACTGCTCTACCAGAAATGTGCAGTGATTTCAATACATAAGTCACGCCTTTCCTTTATAAAGCCTTAAAAATTAAAAAACTGTCATCACTAAAAGAACCTTTCCATACTCCCACTCAAAATAATCTTGAATTAAACTATATGAAGTCATGTAGCATAGCCACAATGCCAATTAAACTTTGAAACGTATAAATTATCCTCAATCTGAGTACAATGATCTCCCATAAATTAATATTTGGCTCCTTTTTAATTTTAAGTTAATTATCAAAATAGTTTATATTCAAATAATTGATAATGATAATATGTTGATTCCTCAACTTTTTCTATTTTAGAAACCTTATTATCATGATACATCAGACTGAAAATTAGAAAACTATATTTTTCTTAAAAATTTGATGAAATGCTAATAAGAGGTTTGACACATGAAAAATGTGTAACCTAACCAAAAAGAACATTACCATTACTAAGAAATTATACTTGATAAACCATGATAACGACAAATCAGATTTGAAAATCAAACAATTCAGTTCTAACTTCTCAGTATTGCTAAACTAATCACATATAGCCCAATGAAAGCCACCCATATACAAGATGAAGAATATAAACAGAAAAATAACACGGAATCAAATATAGCAAACAATAAAATAATAGAGAAACGTAGTAATAAATTCAAAAAGAAAATTTAAAGCACATAAACATAGTCATATATTTATATTTATATTTCAGAAAATAAGATTAAAATTAATGATTAACAGAAAAATAACCTGGAATCAAATATAGCAAACAATAAAATAATAGAGAAATGTAGTAATAAATTCAAAGAGAAAATTTAAAGCACATAAACATAGCCATATATTTATATTTATATTTCAGACAGTAAGATTAAAATTAATGATTATACCTTTTTGGGATTGAGCAAGTAATCATACAAAGTTGACTCCTCCCATATCACAGCCATGTTTTTGTTAGCAGTAGAGTATGAGTATCCAGCAGTAGTACCAGACTGTCTCCCAAACAGGCCATTCAGATTAGGACCTAATAAAATAAAAAAATTATCAGTACAGTGATACTAGTGGCTATTAGCATAAGTAATTCGAGCAAAAGGAATGCAAAAAAAGTCTGCAAAAATAATAAATAAATAAATAAATAAACAAGGGCATCAGGGTTAAATGAAAAGTATTAAACAGAAATTTAGCAAAAAAGTGGTTGCTTTAAAACTACAATACTATTATAGTACTCGCAAACAGAACAAAATATATCTGGATGTGGCAAATGTTCAGGTTTCTATGCGGCTAATATTCAGGTTTTTATTAATTTTCAGCATAATCATAATTTTTTCAAACTAAAGCAATCATGTTTCTGGGGCGTGTAAATTTGACAGTTTAACAATGATTGACAGAAACTTATAACAGATCAATATTCATGCATTGCAGAATTTGATTCTTCCAATTAAAATATAAACAAGCAGCTCATAGGAACACACACCTATTTGCACAAAGATCATTTGATATCATGCAAATTATCAACATTTTTCTTCAATAACTGTATCAAGGAATTTAATCTGACAAATGGGTCTAGAAAACCCTAAGAAAAACTAATAGAGAGAAAAACAATCAACACTTAATAATAGAAAAAAAAAACTAAAATACGTAAAAATCCGGTGCAAAGGAATAATGAAACTTATAAAAGATACTCAAACCAAATCAATAAAAAGAAAATAGTAATGCTAATAAAAGAAGTTAATTAGATAAATTGTAACTGCCTATTGTACAGAATATGTTAGTTAATGTGTTCTGCATGCTCTTTATATTCTACTACATTTCTATATAAAAGCTTGTAATTGTTCTCTGTATATTGGGGGAAATAAAGATCAATTCTATCTCTATTTTTTGAATCTCCTCTTCTTTATTTCATCTTTTGGTTATATTCTTATGCTGCTCATTTATCACTAAAGTCAAAAGCGTATATGGTATCAGAGAGGGACATTCCTAAAAAATCTCCCTCCCTTTCCTTTTCTTCTTCTTCTTCTTATTCTTCTTCTTCTCCCTCGATCTCTCAACTACGGCATGTCCTCCAATAAAGTGAGGTTGGAAGACTCCCTGCTTCTCGACTTCCCATTCTTCATCTCGCCTCTTCTCTGACAAAGGGTTAATAACCGCCGCATCTCTCGCATCGGGAGCTTTGCATCTTCATCCTCATCGACATAGGGACCTGCAACACACTGAATAGTGGCGAACTGTAGATCTCTCTCAATATTTATCAAGATCTTGGTTTCAATTCTTGCAGAGAACAAGACTTTGATTCAAACGATTCTCCTACAACACTCATACAATCTCTCTCTCCCTCTACATTCTTTCTCGCGCTCTTCTTTCAATGTCGTCGATCCAAACTTCATCTCTGCTGATCTCTCTGAGTGAAGCGCAAGAAAGAAAGACTCTTCTTTTTCTATTTCCTTACTTCTCTCTTGCTTCTCACTTCTTCTCTCTTTCTATGGTTTGCGAAAGTCAAACCAAGGAAGAGAGTCTCAAGCCCTCATTCACTTTCTATTGTTCGCATGCCTTCCATCCAAAAATCAAAGCCATTTCCCCTTTTTGATTCGCGCGAAGGCAGGAGACCTTTACCTTCCGCAAAGCCAAATTATAGGTTTCTTGAGCATTTTCTTTATTCTTTTTTTCAAGATCTCCCCTTTACCTAAAGCTCATCAAAATATTCCCCACCCATTTTGACTTCTCTCTCTCTACTCTATTCTCGATTTCTCCTCGCTTTTTCATCCAAATCTCTGATAACAAAGCTTGAATTCCTCATCATCAATCTTCTTCTTCCTCCTCCTCTCTCTTCTCCTCTTGCTTCTAATAAACTCCAACGACATGAATACTTGAAGATCACTCTCACCTCCTTCCTTAACCAATCCCCGAATTGATCTGAACCTTGGCTGGACTGTTACCTCGGAGTTAGAAAGGCATCATTTGCAACAAAGGTGGAAAATCAGTCCCTTTTTTACTTTTGAATCGCTCAAACTAGATGGCTCCATTGATGCGGAAGCACTTATATGGCCCCAAATGCTCAAGAAAGCCGATCTCATCACGGCCAAGATCAACATGTGAAATCCGTATCAAACTAACCATCTCTTCACCAGATAGTTAGTGTGAGGGGTATATTATCACCTATTGTATGGAATATTTATGTGTTCCGCATGCTCTTTATATTCTACTACATTTCTATATACAGCCTTATAACTGTTTCATGTATATTGGGGGCAATAAGATCAATTCTATTTCTATCTTTTGTATCTCCTCTACTTTATTTTATCATTTGTTTATATTCTTGTGCTGCTCATTTATCACTAGAAGCCAAAAGCTTATATAAATTCAATAGAATAGATCGCAAGCCACAACACCAAGCAACCAAAAAATCGAGAAATTTTATTTTCTAAGCAACAATCAATAATCTCCCATGATTTATGAAGAGGCAAAGCAGAAATCAGTTTAAAGCACCTTGTTTGTGTCCGGCTCCTTTCTCTACCGTGTGGCACTGAGCGCACTTCGTTTTGAAGATCTTCTCTCCGGCCTTCGGATCGCCGGGCGGAGCTTCCGAGAACGAAGCCATTCCTCTACCTGTCGCCTCTACTTGTCGCTCGGTTCCTCTCTCTCTCGATTTCTCGCACGCACCCAGACACGCAAATACAGATAGGGTTTAGAATATGGATTCCCGTAAAAACGGTAAATTCGCATAATTTCGTTTTATACGTCGGCGGTTAAGCAGTTACTAAAATGCCCGCAATACCGGTGCCTTGGGACCGCGAAGTTTGAAGGTAATATTGTAAAATAGATGAAAGTTGGGCGCGGTTCCCGCACCCTAAATTTGGTCGGGCAATGAACACGCGCAAGCCGCCACGCTAGGCAAATATTTGTCTGGTTGATAAAAATTGGTTTTTTTTTTCTAACAAAAAAATTGACCGCATAAGAAGATGAGTTTAAATAAGGGTCATATATCTCTAAGAGAACACATGATCAAAAGTAAACTTCACGTGAGTTCTAAGCTTGACATACACGCAATATAATATTTGAACATGAGTTGGGCATAAATTTTAACGCACTATTTTGAGTTGGAACTTAACTGAAATTAGGCTAGAAAATGGTTTGTGGTTGGTTCGACTTAGCTTGAGCCTAGTTTAAACTTATGTTCCAAACTTAATATTTGACCCACTACTTTGCTAATATAAGTTCAATGCTTAGTTTGAACTGAGTTTGAATCTCAACCTAATTCAAATTTAAATTTCAAACAAAGGGCTTAACGACTACAATATAATCTTCAAACCTGATCCAATCCCAATAAAATTGGTTTAAACCTTGTATAGCCTATGAAATAAGTCTCCTCGGCTTGCCAACAAAGTCGCCACCACCGAAGATGTTGTCACTAGAACTATCATAGCCCAGTTAGCCCGCCCCTTGGGCCGACCACATCTTGGTGGTTGACCACTCGGTCGGCCACAATCTACCGGCAAGGCAACTTGAACAGACCGGCCACTCAGTTTGCCACATCCTGTAGTTTGCCACTGGACCAGCCAACCTAAACCGACCAACCGCTCGGCCGGCCACAACCTGTCGGATGGCCACTTAACCTACCAACTTGAACCGACAGCCACTCGACCAACCACCCCTTGTCAGATGGACACTCAACCAACCGCTTAGAGACCGAACCAACAGCCATTTGGAAACCAAACCGACCAACCAATGGTCAGCTACCTGGAGACTAAACCAGTTGGCCACCTGGTGCTGAGTCGGCCGACCACTCAACGCCGACGAGTCCAATGGAAAAAATATTGGAGTACCCATCGCGGCTCCCTTTTAGGCTCTCTCTCTACCCCTCATTTACGGAGCTTGCACTTCTTCTCTCTCACTTGTAACCCAAGCATGTGTGAAGTAGAAGGGGTCATCGAGCCCCAGGACAACCACAATTTGCCCCCCCCC